ATCAAATGCCTTACTGAAGTCCACGTAAATTATCTCGACGCCATTCCTCTGGTCCACTAATTTCGTCACTTTGTCAAAGAATACAATAAGATTAGTCTGGCATGATCTGTTTTTGACAAACTCATGTTGACTTTTGACTATTACTTTGTTTACTTCTAGGTGTTCGCTAATTTGTTGCTTAATTATCTTTTCCAGAATCTTCCCTGGTATTGAGGTCAGGCTGATAGGTCTATAGTTTCCTGGATCTATAAACTACATACATAATTTATAGCAATCTTTCCAAGGTTGGTAAATGAGGAACCAGATTGTTGAGGGCAATGTGCTCACATTTGTAAACCACTCAGAATGCTCTAAAGCACTGTGGAGGGGTGTATAAGTCTGTTAATAGATTTGATCTATCAAATTTCTACACCATCCATTTCACACAAGTGACTGGGCAGTTTACAATTTTGCTTGAGTTGAGTGTTATAGAAGTCATTTGTTACCTTTTACAACCTGTGGTAGAGGATGAGTCCTTTAAAAAAGTGTACAGTCGGAATACTTTGGGATTCAAGTTGATATTCTACGAACTATAGCAACAGCACTTAGATTTACATACCGCTTCATAGTGCTTTGCTCTCTCTAAGTGGTTTATAGAGTTAGCATATTGCCCACAACAATCTGGGTCCTCATTTTACCCACCTCGGAAGGATGGAAGGCTGAGTCAACCTTGAGCCTGGTGAGATTCGATCTGTCAAACTCCTAGCAGCCGGTGATCAGCAGAAGTAGCCTGCAGTATTGCACTCTAACCACTGTGCCACCGTAGCTCTTTCACTATAGTTAGAACACCAGATGTTTTCCCCGGTATTTAGAAAACAGAACACCAGATCTTTTCCCCCAATATTTTATAAAACAGTACTTTGTAATTAATAATTTATAAGTAGGAAGTGAATCCCGAACTCCTCTTTTTTAAAAAAATAAATAAATAGTTTACCATATTTTCCAGAGTATAAGACGCACCTTTTTCCCTCAAAAAAGAGGGTAAAAATCTGGGTGTGACTTATACACTGAATACAGCATTTTTGGCCTCTTGAAACCCCACCTCCTTAACCAAAATGGCAATGCATAGCCTTTAGGAGGTTTCCAGAGTTCTCCTGGGGTCTGGAGAGGGCAGAAATGAGCGAAGAATTGGCCTTTTTTTGCTTGATTTTGCGCCCCCCCCCCCGGCCCCCATGGGCACTCTATAAGCCTCCTAAAGGCTATTTATGCCCCTTTTTTGACAAAAAACGGGCCCGTTTTCAGGAGGTCTGCAAAATGCAAAAACCTTTTTTTAAAAATTGCTTCTTCAAAATCTTAGTGTATAAGTCACACCCAGATTTTTACCCTCTTTTTTGAGGGAAGAAGGTGCGTCTTTTAATCTTGGAAAAAAAGGTAAAAATTTTTTTTTT